TTCTTTTAGTTCTATTGTCATTTTATCCATTTCTGCGCATTCGAGTATTTTCCTGATTGTAGTTTCATCTGAAGGTGTACTGATTTTTTTCCAGTTTTGTGCAAAAGCAATCCTGGCTGCAGTGAGTATGTGTATGATTATGTATTGAGAGCGCCTGGGGGCAGGGGAGGGCAGAAATGAGCAAAAAACAGCACATTTTTTGCTCAATTTTGCCCCTCCAGCCCCTAGGAGCAGTCTGCAAGCCCCCTAAAGGCTATTCATCCCTTCTTTGGGGAAAAAAACAGGGCCATTTTCATGAAAAACGGGCCATTTTTGAAAGGTTTGCAGAGTACAAAAACTTTTTTTTTAATTTGCCTCTTCAAAACCTTGGTGTGTCTTATACTCCAGTGTGTCTTATACTCCAAATAATACGGTAAGTTAGTAACATGGTTGTTAAGTGAATCTGGCTTCCCCATTGATTTTACTTGTCAGAAGATCGTGACCACATGACTACAGAATAGGTGACCACATGACCCAGCAATGGTCCTAAATATGAACCAATTGGCAAGCATCTTAATTTTGATATCACATGGATAGAATACTTTGTCACTTTGAATGTTCACTAATCGGCATACATTAAAATGAAATTATGTTGCATATAGCTTTCAAAGGGTCTCCCCCAGAGGTTGTATTCAGCCAGTTCTGACCGATTCTGGACCCGTAGCGGGAATTTTTAGTTCGGAGAACCGGCAAATAGGCTGGCCTTGCCCCTTTCCCCCCGCTGATCTTCTTTTGTTGCCTTCAACAGGAGAAAAGAAGTGGAAAGCAGGTTAGTGGGGTGCAGTGCTGGGTTCCGAATCCCGTTGAAACCAGTACGGCTGCAATAGGGCCTGGCGTCCTCCACATGAATGCATGTGGCGCACACGCACATGTATCTTACCATCCAGAGATGCTCCCGCAAGCCTCCGCGACACTCCAGCTGCTTGGCGGAGCATTGCGCAGGCGCTGTACGCACCATGCACGTGTGTGGAAGCGCCGAAGGTTTTAAAGACAGGTAAGAAGTGCAGGCGGGCAGGCCCCTCCGGAACACGGTAATGGAACAGTACTAGGTGCTCCAGGCCTGCAACCCACCACTGGTAGAGTGGGAAGGGAATGGGGATTTTGCAGTATCCTTCCCTGCCATTCCCACAAAGCCACACCAGGCTCACCAAGCCATGTCCACAGAACCGTTAGTAAATGTTTTTGAATCCCACCACTTGTCTCCACCTGTAATATAAAGATAAACATGACCAGATAAATAAATAAATACAAAATTATGCATATACAAACACACACACAATTTGGGGGAATACTACAAAAGGATGTGGTCGTAAATGTGAAAAACGACCATAAGCCGCTCTTTTTCGAGTGCCTTTGTAACTTTGAACTAAATGAACTGTTGCATTGGTTTGACTCGCCCATTAGCTTTGAGTATGTTCTACAGTACTGAAGTACTAAATGAAGATGACGTGACTCATCGTCCATCCTTTCTGGAAGATACGACACGGAGGGAAGCCGTCCTACAAGTAACTAGGATCTCCCTCCGTCAGCTGTTTCTCTCCCACCCACCCCGACCTCCTCTTCCTCCGAGAACTCCGGCAAGGCCGCCCCACCTTCCCGCTCCAGCTGCGAAGCGGCCCCGAGCTCGCGCTCTCCTCCATGGCTCCGCCCCCCTCCTCGACGTCCCTCTGGCAACCATGTCGGCGGGCGTGCGCAGACGTCAAGCAGCTGGCGTGAAAGCAGAAGCTCCCTCGGTCGCCGTAGTAGCTGCCCCAGCTAGCGGAGATGAGGAGCCGGGCATGGCGGCGGCCCCGAGCCTCTCCGCCTGCCTCAAGCTGCTGGCGGCTGCCTTCTACGGCTTCAGCTCTTTCCTCATCGTGATGGTGAACAAGAGCGTCCTCACCAGCTACGGGTGGGTAAGGAGGCGAGCCCGGGGCGAAGTTCATCGGTGCTGGCCCCGGTGGAAGTTTTAGGGGGTGGAGGCGGGCACGCTATGTGGTGTGTGTGTTTGCAGAACGATGTTGAAGGCCGGTTGACGGCTCCTTCTTGCATGGACCGCTAAGATTTGGGGCTGTATTCTTGCAAAGCCCTCCCCACTTCCCCCGGACGTTGCCGTCGGAGAAAAAGCCGCCTCCATGTTAACGGGGAAAGGGGAGCGACGCCTGCTCATCTCTCCAGTGTGGATGCCCGGCGGGAGGTTTTGCTGTCCGCCTTTAGCGTCTCGTCCGATGAAACCACTTGCAAGGAGGTCTCTGGGCTGGGAAGTTGCCTTTTCTTCTCCAGGATTCTGGAAATGACAGAACTCCCCTGTCCTACAGGTAGTCCTCCATTTACAACAGTTCCGTTAAAAGTGACTGTGGCACTGAAAAAAAGGGACTTATGACCGGTTTTCCACATTTGCAGCATCCCTGTGATTCAGATGCTTGGCAACTGGTTCATATTTATGACCACTGCTGTGTCCCAAGGTTGCGTGATCACCTTTTGCAAATTTCTGACAAGGAAAGTCAATGGGAAATGAGACTTGCTTAATGAAAGTGTTGCTATGTTAATACCTGCAGTGATTCACTTTACAACCTGTGGCAAATGGGGCAAAACCCACTTAGTAATTGTCTCCCTTAACAACAGAAATGTTGGGCACCAATCATGGTTGTACGTCGAGGGCTACAGGTAGTCCTCCATTTACAACAGTTCCGTTAAAAGTGACTGTGGCACTGAAAAAAAGGGACTTATGACCGGTTTTCCACATTTGCAGCATCCCTGTGATTCAGATGCTTGGCAACTGGTTCATATTTATGACCACTGCTGTGTCCCAAGGTTGCGTGATCACCTTTTGCAAATTTCTGACAAGGAAAGTCAATGGGAAATGAGACTTGCTTAATGAAAGTGTTGCTATGTTAATACCTGCAGTGATTCACTTTACAACCTGTGGCAAATGGGGCAAAACCCACTTAGTAATTGTCTCCCTTAACAACAGAAATGTTGGGCACCAATCATGGTTGTACGTCGAGGGCTACAGGTAGTCCTCAACTTAGGACCATAATTGAGCTCAAAATTTTATGGTATTTGTTAAGTAACTTTTGTACAATTTTATGTCTTTTCTTGCCACATTTGCAGTTGTTAAATTAGTAACAATAATGTTAAATGAATCTGGTTTCCCCATTGACTTTGCTTGCCAGAAGGTTGCAGAAGGGGATCACATGACATCAGGACACTGCAACAGTCATAAATATGAATCAGTTGTCAAGCATCCAAATGTAAATCATGTGATCATGGAGATGCTGTAATAGTCATAAGTGTGAAAAATGGTCATAAGTAACTTTTTTCAGTGCCATTGTAACT